CAAACAAAAAAAACAAACAATAAAACACACAAACAAACAAACAAACAACCAAACAAACAAACAAACACACAAGCAAACAAACAAACAAACAAGCAAGCAAACAAACAAACAAACAAACAAACAAAAACACACACACACACACCCCACACCCACCCACCCACACATACACACTTTTACACTTTCAGACAGACAGACAGCCAGCCAGACAGACAGACACACACACACACACACTCCCACAGAGTAGCAGCAACATGCAGGAATAGAAAGAGGAGGAGGAGTAGGATTGGGGTAGGGGTAGGGGTTGGGGTAGCGGCATGGGGAGGGGTCGAGGAGGGGCTACTGCTGTAGTATCAATAGCAGCAGTAGACGTCGTCGCGGTGGTTGTGTGCCAGCACATTTCGACGCTTGGAGGCTGTCCCGACCTTCATTGTGCGAAGGGGCAATGCGCATGATCAGCATTGAAGCATAAACTGCCTCGACCCTAGCCTCTGCAAGGACGCTCCAAGGCAAATACTGTACCTGCATGGGGACCATCCCCGTGGTTGCCCTCCGCTGTTGGTACGGCTAATTTCCCCTCCACCGACTGCGTTCGGCGAGTCGCAGACTATCGACAGGCATCCGTTTCAACTTCCATGGTTTCGCATGTGGCCACCTCTTTCAAACCGGCATCCGTGGATTTATCAAGATGTCTGATCGTCCTCAAGCACACACAGACAAACAGTCTCGAAAAGGAAGCTGCCTTGGGCAGCGCCCTCACGAACCATCACTGGGCAAAGCTCATTGGAGTTCCTCTCAACAGCACCGTCGCGGGAAACAAGCTCTAGGGGGTGTGTGGTCATGGGCTGCAAGACCAGCGAAACCGAAGCGCCATCGCAGTTTTGCCACTGGCAAGGCAGGAGCATGGATACAGAGGGTGACTACGACGGCCGAGTGCAAAAAGGCCCGCGTAACGTCTTGAGAATGTCTCGAAATCCATCTTAGCCACTGTTCGGCTAGAGAAAGCCATCAACAACCACCTGTCGACCAAAACTTAGTTTCAGCTTCAAAGCCTGAAAACTCACTTCTTCAGAACAAACAAGTTTGACCTCTACGATCGGGTCCTGACGAGATTGCCGATCCTTGGTAGATCGCACACCGGTTGCGCATGCATCACAGCAAGAGCAGCAAAGGATTCCTATGTCCAAGGCTACTCTGCCACAAGGCTGCGGCCGAATGCGGCTCAAGGCTACGAGGACCGCCTCATCCCACGAGTCTGGTCCATACCGTTTGATTCTACAATCTGCGAAAACTCGTTTCCTCTACCAATCAGCAGTTAGTGGTCCTCCCACATGACTGCCGCGGGTGTCGTTTTGTCCAAATTCAGGGACTAGCCAGTGTGCTATCAGAACTGCGGCGGCCTACTTAGACATACAAGGCTATCGTCACTGGCTATTTCGACCTCTACAGTAAGTACGGGAGCTAGTCGGTTTTTAATCCGTTTGTCGGAACAAAACGACAAAGAGTACTATGGAGTATGATGCCCACACACAGCAAGCGCTGTAATGGCAGTATCGAAGCCAGGACTCATGCAAGGCAACTGAAGTACGACTGAACACATGTTCTTATTGTTGGAACTAATTGTAGTGGTGGTGGTAGTAGTAGTGGTAGCAGCAGCAGCAGGAGTAGTAGTAGTAGTAGTAGCAGTAGTAGTAGTAGTAGTAGTAGTAGAAGTAGTGGTAGTAATGTTAGTGCTAGTAGTAGTAGTAGTAGTAGTAGTAGCAGTAGCAGCAGTAGCAGTAGCAGTAGCAGTAGCAGTAGCAGTAGCAGTAGCAGTAGCAGTAGTAGTAGTAGTTGTTGTTGTTGTTGTTATAGTTGCAGTAGGCTAGTAGTTAGCATTTAATAATTGCTACGAGAAGTTAGCAACTGCTGCTGTAATTGATGCTGTTGTACCAGCATGCCTTGCAGACACACGGCGCTCCCGCAGCATTTGCTCGTGTCTTCTCTTCGACATCCTGCAGCAATCCTCATTTGCGTAAGTGCAGAACGCATCTGGATGATGCTCGAAACTATAAACTGCCTCAAGATCTTTCGTTTTCGGATTTCGTCGCTGGGATTCCCACAACTTGGCATCGCTACGTCTTACAATGTGGCCCGAAGACAAGGACGGCAGGAACTATCAGTTCTGCGGGCCTGAAGCCGCAAGCGCTTTTGCTACGAAAGGCTCACCCTTTGCAAACTCCAGCACATCTGCGGTTCAATGGCAAGGTTCGGAGTAGCCGCGGTACAGCCGGGGCTAAGTCGCGGTAGAGAGCATCGGAATGGAACGCCGAATTGCCTCCATTGCGACGTGGTTGTCTGTACGAGTAGGTGTCTTTACCAGGCCAGCTTCAAGCAGGGTGTGGCTGCAAACTGTCAACTACAAGAAGCAAATTTATTCATATCCAAAAAACCTTGACCAACCTAAGCCCCGTCGGAACCACCCAATCATTCAGGAGAACGTTCCACATGTCCCTCCCACCAATCCCGCCCAAAGCAAAGGAGGCGAACTTGCGGCAAGCGGAATCACTGTCGCCACAAAGCTCGATCAGCCGGCTGAGCACTCCGTCCTGGAAATTGACTTGACGGCAGAAGAAACCGGCTGGAGAATGTTATGAGCATGACCATGAGCATGCTGACCGTGCATCAGCCTTTCCAGGCCAGCCCTGGTTACGGCAGCACCACAGACTGCGGTAAATTCAAGCCACACCTGCCTGAATTCTGAAGCATCCTAGCTTCGGGCAGTCGTGGGCTTACAGGACCATGCAACAACATAGCACAACACCATTTTGGATGAGGAAGCACCACATAATACACCGCAAGTTGCAAAACATTTGGTTTGCGGCCTGCCTCAAGCATACTCTCGTAGAATTCATCCGAATGACGAACCATGTTTCCCACAGCCTTGGAGGGGCGGATCGCCACACGGCATCAAGTAGTACATAGTGGTACATGCTACAAGGGTGTTTTGGTCGGAATCATGCACGGCCTAAGGACGACTGGGAGTTGGGAGAGCGTAGCTTCTGTAGGCAGAATGATCGGATCTGCTCCGACGAAACCCTTGAGCTTTCCCGCAATAAGTCACTTTGACCAACCCTTCTCGCCGAACACCCGCAGACAAACAAGCCAACAAAACCTAACCTGTTCAAACACACACCTTGGTACAACAACAAGATGGCAAGTCTCAATTCCGGGTGGAGTCGAGGATGGAAAGAGTTTGTAAGTTTCTTTAAACGTTAACACCCACAAGTTGTAAGTAGCATCACATGTAACGACTCCAATCGAAACGATGATGACTACTGGACCGGCATGAACTTGTGGGCCTGAGCATGGACAAAGTCAGCACACATGTCAGCCCAATTTGTCACAGTGGCATTCAAAGCTTTCGCCCGGACGCTGGCATTGCCACAAGAAAGCAAATCTCGAAGCGCTATGCACAAATTCATGCTCCGCAACAATGGATAGTATTCCCGAGACCTCAGCTGTGCAACTCAAGTCCACCTCAAAACAACGCTAACTTGTGCCTGCTCGATTCTAATGGCGAACAAGCTTCAACCGAGCCAACTGGGAAATGATCACCAAGACATCGGAGACGGCCTTATCTGGAGGAGCAGCTGGAGCGCTAAACAAATGTAATGTAAGATGCGACTTCGCACAGTGTTAGGTGGACGCAACATGCAAGTGGTAATGCCACCATGCACCATGGGAACTCACCGCAGCAAAGCCACCGTTGCACTGACTGCAGAGCCGGTAGCTAGCCCTGGGGACAGCAATCGTCGGCTCACGACCATCTGCAATCCTGGACGCGGTTGCCAAGGCAGACCAATGTGAGAAACATGTACGTCGTATGTCTCCATGCCTTGCCTCCATGTTGCACGAACTCAAAGGCCAGCAAATGGTGGTGCAAAACCAATGCCTGGGTGCGCAGCGCAATGGTCATTGGTATGCTCAAACGACAGCAAACGGACAACCTTTATATACTCCGGGGTGCGACCAGAAGCTGAAGCGCGGATGAAACAGCAGGTGTCAGCGAATCGTTTCCTTCGCCATGGGTATTATGAAGATCCTAACGCATATGTTGCAAAAACCTCGCAAAATTGTGCTCCGTTTCGGATGAACATCCTCCGATATCCTGACCGTCACTGACATCTCAATCAATGTCACCACTTCTCCACATTCTTTGCTGTCAATCTACTTTTCGTAACCAAGCGGCCTGGGTCCACCGGAGCGCCAGCAAGGAATTGCCTAAGCAACGCGCCAGAGCTTCCCGGATGTTGCCGCACACATTGCATGTGCAGGCAGATGCATGTGCCACAATGTATAGTTCCCACTTGCAGCCGCTAAAGCATGGGAGACTGTTGAGCCGAGCTGCATGATGGTAGTAATAGTTCGATGTGTTTGAAGCTCGGTATGCAGATCGGTCATGCGCTCGTCTTTGGCCACGGACTCCAACAAACGCAGCAGCAGCTCAAGGGCTGCCTGGTGACGAAGTCCCAAGCGTTACGAACTCTGACATGAGATGACGGATGGCAACTCCGAAACTGCAAAGCCTGACACGAAGATGGTGGGCAGATCTGTGGATAAAAGAAACGCAAGTTGACGGAGCATAGACCCAAACCCGAAAGACATGATTGTATGTAGCTGTCCGTCTCAGCAGCCTCCGCAAGCGGAGACCCCATTTGCACAGCAGTAGTAGTAGTAGTAGT